ACTTTCATGCATGATTAATTGCTTTCACAAAAAAAAGGAAGAAATAGGGAAAAAGTGAGTGTGATGTGCTCAGGAAAAGAGGCAAGTGGATCCAGACAAAGGCTTTCACAATGAAACACACAGCACCTTCACGACATGGCAGTGGCGACACCAACAATACTACAGCGAGAATAAAAGTTACGCCTTCTTTCTTTGTGTGAACATTTGGGCAGCGTTATGCAAATCTTCCCACATCGTGACGTAGACGTGGGGGCGTGTTAGAACGAGCCGTTTTAGGTAGGCGTGGTTGACTCTTAACTTTTATAAAGAATATCTCTTTGGATTTGAGACTTTAGTCTTTGCAACTTTACAGATCTTCTTTATGCACCAAGAGCTTGTAACACTTCAAATAGAAAGGAAAAATTGAAATCGCATCATATGACCCCTTTAACATTAGGCATATGTATATACTAATATTTAGGCGATGTTAATTTATGAACTATAAGTTTTAAAATGTTTTAAGTTATTGATTTTATGTTCCTATTCAGAAGCACCTGTCCACAAAATGTTAAAAAAAATAACATAATATATCTGTCCTCTGAGCAAAGCATCTGCTTCACGCACCATTCTACGCTCCCCAAAAATTGCGCCGATAAACACTCGCTCTCTGGTGAACAAGACATACATCCTGAACGATTTTACCACTACTCACGACCTGGATTTTCTGTTTATCACCGAGACCTGGGTGAAGGTAGGGGACCTCAGTCCATATTCTGAACTTGTTCCAGCCAACTATCACTTTTACAATGCTCCGCGATCATCAGGCAGAGGCGGCGGGCAAGCCATCATTGCTAAAGATTCTTTCAGACCTCGATGCCGACTGTTATCTTCCGCCACCTTCACGAGTTTTGAAGCTCAGATTTTACTTCTGAACTGGTCTGAACCTGTGGTCTTAGCTCTGATCTATCGGCCACCACATCTAATCAAAGACTTCATAGTAGAGTTTTCAGAGTTTGTAGGGGATTTGATCACTAAACACGATCACATCCTTATTTTAGGTGACTTCAATGTCCATGTATATTGCCCCTCTAAGCAGCTAACTCCTGAGTTTTTAAACATCATTGACTCTTTTAACCTGCTGCAGTGGGTTAATCATCATACACATACTCATGGACACATTTTGGACCTAATTTTGTCACATGGTCTATCTGTAACTGATGTTGAAGTTGTTGATTCTGTTATCTCTGATAATTTTCCTGTTTTATTTAAATTGTCCCTCCCACTGCCTCCTCTTACACCTGCCTCGGATGGTACACAAGCCCGTGAATATTTGCCTCATTTTTGTGAGGATTTTGTCAAGCTCTATAATGAGGTCAACCCTCTTTTATCATTAGTCTCTATTATTTGATCTTGATGCTGAACATCACTTTATCATTTTAAATACTGCCTGGACAGATACTTTAAACCTTACAGCTCCTTTTAAGCTCTTTAAGTCAAAATCTATATCTAAAAGGAGCTATACCTTCAAGTTTGAAAATTGCCACGGTTACACCTGTACTAAAGAAAAGATATTTTAAACCTTACAGCTCCTTTAAAGCTCTTTAAGCCAAAATCTACATCTAAATCAGAGCCATGGGTTGATCATAGTATTCGTTCCTTGCAGGACAGCAGAAAGGAAGTGGAAAAAGAACAAATTACAGATTTCTTATGAGATCTTAAAGAATTGCCTATCGTCATATCAGTATGCTGTTAAGAAAGCCAATGCTTCCTATTTTTTTAAACTAATTGAGAAACATCACCACACCCCAAAAGCTCTTTTTTCTGTTATCAATTCCGTTCTAAACCCCCCTGTAAATTCTCTTCACTACCCGTCTTTGGCACTTTGTGAGGATTTCTCTAGTTATTTTGGAAATAAAGCTTCAAGTTTGAGGGCCCAGTTTCTGGTCTCCGATCAGGAAATACCAAAAGAGATTAAACTTCACCTGTCCTGTGGACTTCTTTCAATCCTGTCTCTCTACATTCTGTAAAGGAAGTAATGCTTAAACTTAAACCCTCCTTTAGTTCACATGACACTATACATCCTTACCATTTGAGACAAATATTCGACACTGTCGGCCCTGGGCTGGTGTCGCTATTTAACAAATCTTTGCTTGAAGGAGCTGTACCTTCCAGTTTGAAAATTGACACGATTACACCTGTACTAAAGAAACCCTCACTTGATGCCTCTATTTCATCAAATTTTCGTCCGATCTCCATTTTGCCATTTATTTCCAAGATATTGGAAAATATTGTGTTTTTTTACAGCTTCAGACCTTCCTGACTGACAATCATATTCTTGAGATGTTTCAGTCGGGGTTTAAATCACTGCACAGCACAGAAACTGCTCTTGTAAGAGTTCTTGATGATATTTATATGGCAACAGATTTGGGGGACTCTGTCATTTTAGTAATTTTAGACCTGTCCTCTGCTTTTGATACTGTCGATCATGCAATCCTTATCTCTCGTCTGGAGTATTGCGTTGGGCTGGGGGGGAGGGGGCGTTTTAAGTTGGTTTAAATCTTTTCTAACCAATAGACATTTCTCTGTAAAAATAGGACGTTTCTCTTCTTCTCTTTGCAGTCTATCCTGTGGTGTGCCTCAAGGCTCTGTTTTAGCTCCTGTCATTTTTTCCTGCCAGGGGGGCGCCAGCACCTGTCAAGGGGGGCGCGAGCATCAGTTAATTCAGAGAGGTTCTCTTGAGAATTTATGCAGGCCAAGAAATCACCTTGACCTTGAATCTTTAAACCAATTCATCTCTCCCCAAGTACGGAATCTAGGTGTGATGGTAGACAGTTGCCTCAAATTTGACAAGCAGATTAGCACGGTCATTGTGTCCAGCTTTTTCTTTCTTCGTTCTCTATCGAAAATCAAATCCTTTCTTCCTAAGCGCTCCTTGGAGATTGCTATCCATGCTCTTATTACCTCTTGCCTGGATTATTGCAATTCCCTCTATTTTGGTATATCTAAGTACCAAATGGTATGCTTACAGGTAGTTCAAAATGCTGTGGTGAGATTCCTGAACGGAAAGAGGAAATTTGTTCATGCTACCCCCCTTCTGAGATCCCTTCACTGGCTTCCGATTAACTTTAGAATTGAGTTTAAAATTTTATTACTGGCATATAAATCATTAAATGATTTAGCACCTTCTTATTTGTCCGATCTACTTCACCCCTACTCCCCCACCAGAGGCCTTAGATACAAAGATAAACTCCTCCTTCAGATACCCAAAACCCGGCTAAAATCAAGGGGTAACCGAGCCTTTGAAGTGGCCGGCCCGACACTGTGGAACAAGCTCCCACTATATATAATTTATAATTTATAATAAAAAAAAAAAAAAAATTTTAATCTTTCATTTAAGCTTCATTAAAAAAAAAAATAGAACCCAAATCTATACCTACAAATCCAAGAAATCAAACTTCATGTCTGACAAAAGATCTAAATGGCAGCCATTTTCAATACTCTACATGAATTACATAATCCAAAACCTGAAGATAAGCCTTATTTAAATATTAAATAATCAATATGTGAATACCTGGACATTGATTGAATTCTATACTGATGAATTGAATTGAAAAAAAGGGACCATTTTCAAATAATTTTCCCAAACACTCATCTTAATTGTTCGCACCATGGCCAAACAGTTTTCTGACTACTTATAGGGATAGTTCACCCAAAAATGAAAATTTTGTCAGTAATTACTCACCCTCATGTCGTTCCAAACCCGTAAGACCTTTGTTCATCTTCAGAACACAAATTAAGATGCTTTTGATGAAATCCAAGAGCTTTCTGACCCTACATAGACAGCAACGCAATTACCACTTTCAAGGCCCAGAAAGGTAGTAAGGACATCGATAAAATAGACCATGTGACGCATACATGTGCATTCCTCTGCTTGCAAACAAGGCGCAGCGCATCAGGGTTCTACATCAGAACGCCAGCTCCTGTGTCAGCAGCATCACATGCATCCATAGTGATACTCTTGTGAATGCGTGGCGAAGACTGACACGGAAGAGAAAAAATTGTTGAATAAAGTCTTTATTTTGGTTTTATTTGCGCACAAAATGTATTCTCGTAGCTTCATAAAGTTAAGGTTGAACCACTGACTATTTTAACAATGTCCTTACTACCTTTCTGGGCCTTGAATGTGGTAGCTGTGTTGCTGTCTTTGCCGGGTCAGAAAGCTCTCAGATTTGATCAAAAATATCTTAATTTGTGTTCCGAAGACGAACAAAGGTCTTACGGGTTTGGAATGACAGGAGGGCGTGTAATTAATGACAGAATTTTTCATTTTTGGGTGAACTATCCCTTTAAGCATTGTGTGTGGGCTAATTCTCTAAACAGAGACATGTGTGATTTCTAAGGACACCAATTACAGACAGAAAGAACTGATCTGAGCTGTTTGGTGACTGTTGGTATAATGTATGTAAGAACAGTATACAGGTGCATCTCAATAAATTAGAATGTCGTGGAAAAGTTCATTTATTTCAGTAATTCAACTCAAATTGTGAAACTCGTGTATTAAATCAATTCAATGCACACAGACTGAAGTAGTTTAAGTCTTTGGTTCTTTTAATTGTGATGATTTTGGCTCACATTTAACAAAAACCCACCAATTCACTATCTCAACAAATTAGAATACTTCATACTTCAAAAACATTTTTTGTGAATTGTTGGCCTTCTGGAAAGTATGTTCATTTACTGTACATGTACTCAATACTTAGTAGGGGCTCCTTTTGCTTTAATTACTGCCTCAATTCGGCGTGGCATGGAGGTGATCAGTTTGTGGCACTGCTGAGGTGGTATGGAATCCCAGGTTTCTTTGACAGTGGCATTCAGCTCATCTGCATTTTTTGGTCTCTTGTTTCTCATTTTCCTCTTGACAATACCCCATAGATTCTCTATGGGGTTCAGAAATAAATGAACTTTTCCACGACATTCTAATTTATTGAGATGCACCTGTATATGTATGCATGGATAGTCACCGTTGGTTGAGCTCCTCCTGTGCCTTTCTCCTCTCTTTCTCCAGGCCTTTCTGCAGCTCTTCGGCTATCTTTCTTCTCAGTTCAGACTCATGCACTAAACAAAAGACAAAACATGCATATTAGATGCATATTAGATGAGCTACTGCTTATAGACCATATGGTTATTCCAGAGCATTTGATTTTGTTGTAGCATTTCATAGGAGGTCCTAGAATGGCAATGTCCTGTGGGTAACAAAGTTTAATGTTGTATTGTACACTTGAAGTATCTTTGAGGCAAGTTTGTACTTGTTTGTAAAGAAGTTTGTAAGCGAGTACAGTGAGGTAGGATGGTATTTTGAGCCCTCAGGACGTCTCTGCCTTATGAGGCAAAGCGAGAGAAACCGAAATACAGAGGACAGGGGTCCTATACGCCTATGCACTGACAATGACTATAAAATTCACTTTCAAACACACACACTTCAAAAAATACACTTTTCATAACTTAGTGTTGATATCAATACCGCCACAGTCAAACGTGTCAGTGTGTGTCCTGTTCTTTATCTGGATGGCTAATTGTCCATGAAAGCACAGCGGAGATATAAAACGGACAAACTCTTAGCTGCCAGTCGAAAAAAGCAGCAGTAATGCAGCACTGCAGAGGCCTGGAGCTACTGCATGACAGGAAGTCCAAGTGTTTTGCAGATGGAGACACAGGCTTATAGTTTGTAAAAACAACCAACACTTAGTCTAAAAAAATACAAATAGAAAATAAACAAATAAATTAAAAAAGTACTAAAGCAATCGTTCCTCACAGACATGTCCAAGTCAAATCTTGTCACAAATCCAAGTTTAGTCTTTCATGGCAAGTCTAGAAGGAAAAATAAGAGGTTTTACTTAAATCAAAAGATCATTTTATCTTTAAAATCATGTAGTTCTGAAATAAATAATTTATTCATTATTCACTTGTAAAGGCCTGGATCATTTAGCTCAAAAAAAAATTTTTTTTTTTTTTAATTAAACTTTTGGCAAAGTTCTTTCTGTAAACAGCACAGATTTCTCTCCCCACAGTAAATAAATGAGAACTTTATGGTAATCACGATTTGTTATGCAACATATTGAAAAAATATTTCTTCTTGGACACTAGTGATGTTTAAAAGTCTCTAATCCAGAGTAAAAACAAAACAAAAAACAACACAAATAAAATAAAAAACAAGAAAGAAACAAACAAAACAAAACCCAAAACTAAAGCAAAACAATATTTAACTAAAAAAGTCTGTCAAATCTCAAGGCAAGTCCATTTAAATTCAATCCATGTCTCAAATCCTAAGTTCAATAAAATTTAAGTCAATACAAATAAATTGATTTTTGCGACTTACTGTAAAGTGAGACTCAAGTTTTCATCTTTCAGTTTTAAAACGTTGAAAACGTTGTTAAAGACTCTTATGTGTATTTATACTTAACATATGAAAGGAAGAAGCAGTAGCTGCCATTAATTTAAAGTGATGTTTTATAAGCAGCCGCCGGAAGAAGCAGTCACTATGGGTGCCATATGGTTTGGTTGTATAACAATGTTCTTTTTAGAAACAATTTGAGACTGTAAAGCCGAGAGAGGAAACCTGTTGGGAGAGAAACACTAAAGTTATCACATACACCAACCTTCTTCAAGACTAATGAGAAATATCCTGTTGCCGTGACAATGCTGAAGAGGAAATCAAAATTAATTGCGGACGCTGGAAAGGCATATATCAAACAGCAGGCTAGCGTAATGGATAAAAGCAGACAGGTGCTGTCTAAACCTCAAACCCAGAAGATACGATCAAATTAAAGATATGGTGTGATAACGGACATCCTGACACAGTCCTCACACACACTTTTTTTTCTTTTCCATCAGGCTAAAGACTCTTTTTCTGTGTCACACATTCATTCACGCTCTAGGTTCCCATAATTCATTAATTTAAACTGGGCTTTAATATTTAAAAAGGACCTAGAAAGGATTTCAGTACCACAACTAAAACAAGGCGATCTTATTTATATATATAACAGTTTCCTTTCCACGTGAACTCTTTGACTGCAGTCCTTCCACAACCACAAAGGATCATCAGAAAAAAAAAACTGAATGCAGAAAATGGCAGGGATGGTAATGAAGACAGAGAATTTGTAATGTCGATGAGTAGAGGTCAAGCAATATTAGTTCTGAATGGCTGATGCTGATAACTAGAGAGCAGGACCTATAGGTATAGGCTGAAATAATGTGGGTCTCATTCAATAACTGTACAATTTCATACTTTTTGGGCAAAATAATTTTACATGTAAAAATTCCACCAATGACCTACTGTAAGGTCACTTCGTTATTAAATAAATTAATGAATGCAAAATTATAATGTATTTATAATTTTTGAAAATGATATTGCTATATGTTAGAATCATATTACATTATAAATATAATGCAAACATCTAATATGTGATAAAAATAAACATATTATCAGAGTTGTAGTGCAGTGGACTGAGCAGCTGCTCAACAGATGTAATATATATATATATATATATATATATCTATATATATATATATATATAGTATATATGTATATATATTATTTATCAGGTAAACAGCATGAACCATTTACACACAAATTTTATCCAAAAATACATTCCTATATAATGATAGTGAACGAAACTCAGTATAATCAGCCAAACTTCTCAGAAGAAAAAAAAAGTAGTCCTCACACACACTTTTTTTTCTTTTCCATCAGGCTAAAGACTCTTTTTCTGTGTCACACATTCATTCACGCTCTAGGTTCCCATAATTCATTCATTTAAACTGGGCTTTAATATTTAAAAAGGACCTAGAAAGGATTTCAGTGGATTCAAAGGATAACCAGCTCATATGTTAAAAAACCATCTGAGAGTCTTCAGGGGGTTTTCGCAGGAGGTCACCGAGAACTCCAGAACGGCATTAACCGTCTGGGTGCCCGTGCCAATCCTGAGTGAGAAGAGTAATGCTTAAAGATGAAAAACTCATCATCTTTAGATATTTCTCACTCTTTTACACCCTCCTTCATTCTCTGCAGATATTTTAAAAAGTAGCTTCTGGGCAGTCGGGAGGGAGATAACAGACAGAGACAAATTGCGCGTCTCATAAGATGTTTCATTAATCTCCAGACCTGAGAAGAGGAGGGGAAGGCGGGGCTAATCTAAACCATTACACGTTCCTCACAATCCAACTTAAATGAGTCTCAACATCTTTCCACACGCATAAAGAGACTCCCGGGAATATCAAACAAGGTGATCTTTCTTGTCCTCAGCCTACACTTCACACTACACTACACATGGAAGTTTTCATGAAACATCATGCAAATGGGGCTAAAAGATCATTTCATTACGGCGCATCACATGCAGCGAGAGCGTCCCTCTTTTGACTCTCTGATCTTGTTGCCGATCTTCAAGGAGATACTTAATATGTAACGGCAAGAAAAGTGTGTTTATGTATTGCTGAGACAAAGAAGGATTTGTGTGCAGGTAATTAGAGCGTAATGGAAAACGGTGTGTGGGCCCTGCGTATGAATATTCATGGTACGCTGAGAACGTGTAGGAGGATCAACCTTGACCACCGTCTAATCACCACGCGCAGAGACTCTGCCGTGATTTAGCGATGGACTCGATCATCCACAGCATCTTTTAATACCTCCACTCGTGGGTGCACATAATCAATGTCCCTCATTAAGGTCACAGCCTTTGACCTCAAAAGATGAGCTGAGCCGCTTAAGGCAAGAAGAGCTGTGACAAAGAGACAATTTAAGGAGTTAGTCATCGGAAAATGTCACTGCATTTAGTTTAGTTGAGGCTTAAAGGTGCAATAGGTGATTGTCTTCAGAAACATTTCTTGTTATGCTGGTTGAAAGTCTCTTCACATCCCAATAGCAATCATCAAGTTAAGTGGTCTAAATGTATTTGTCTGTATTTATATATTCTGTGGAAGGTGTAGGATCAAGAAATGTTCGTCCAATTAAAACGCTCGGTCCGAGCGTTTTAATTGGCTTTCCTACCTGCCTGTCAACGTATGTATTAGCATACCTCTGCGCACCCGGTTCGCGCAGACTAGCTTACGTCATCAGCGCGTTCACGCACGCTGTGTGCAGACAGAGCGAGAATGGCAGACAAACATCAACAACCCGATCTTCCTTCCTGGTATTGTAGTACTTTTAAAGTTATATTTGATTTCTGATTATTGTACCCTAATTGAAGTAGCTGTTTAAATAGGATCATGATTTTACATACCATTGCATGAATGACTGCCTGACACATAATATATTATTATATTTATGACTAACGATCAAATGATTAAGTAGTTAGAAACTAGTTGCTATGAATACAGGTGCCATCAGTTGTCTTCTTATGAATGACTTGTTTGTCGTTGAGTCAGTGTTGCTGGTGCAAAGTAGGCCCTTTGTTACCAAACACCAAGTAACTAAATTAGGATCTAATTATGAGTCATTCGCAAACTGTTAAACATTAAACTGTTGGTTACTTTAAAACTAACCTTCATCTGGGAGATCACAGTGATATGTGAATATTTGATCTGTTAACTGGTTGCATATGTCAGATTTATTGCATGACTCGGGCAGAGAAAAGCTGTTGCTATCAAACTGTTCACTTGTTCACAAACATCAGTGTGTTGGTGAAGATATAGATCAAATAGGTCAATTGATGGAAGGTTTGTGAAGAAATTTCATGCTCCCTTGTAAAAGCATTTTTTAGTATTTTTAAAATACAAAAATACAGTAGTTTATTTTGATACTTGGTGTAGCTGCTGTATTTTGTAGTTTATTTTGATACACTTAAAATTAAGGTATTTGGGATTTTATTTTAAAATACATTTTGATGCATCTTTGCCCAACCCTGGCTACGTGCATGAACTGTGTTCCGATCGATATGATCCCTACACAGTGTTCGTTGCTCCCTACTCCCTGAGCGGGGGAAATCCGTTGAAGTTTACTTCACTTCAGAACATGGGCTGGAATTGGGAACCGCTGATGTAGCCTATTGTAGTAATGTTGTCTCTGGTATTCTGGTCTGTGAGCGTAAATGCATTCAGGGGGCGTGGCTTTGGACGGCGATTGCAGGGAGGGTGGGACATTCGCTTTCAGTGCTATCAGGCTAAAGTTAGCATTTTCAAAGATCTCCTACTGCACCTTTAATGTTTCAGTACGGTCATTTTTAATAGCTACAAAGTTTAAGTAAGCATTGTTCAGTAATTGTTCACCACTCTGTCATTTCACCAAAGAAAAGCAGTCAAATGATGTGAGTGTGAATAAATTATAGCAATTTTAATTTTTGGGAGAACTACTTTGCCATACAAAATGCAGAAACTGCACATTCGGTCTAAAATTAAGAGTTATGATCAAAAACTCTGCTCCGTTCTGTGACAAACAGGTTTTGGTCAGCTATGCTAAAACTGATATCTCATCCATTGAAATTTTGCAACCAAGTTTTGCTCTCAAATGGCAGCATTTGATTAATATTGTTTTATGTATTCCTTTTTTTAAAGTAAATAAGCCTTTAAAAGCAATTTTCTATCATTCAAATGCTACATGCAACACAAAAAAGAAAATACATACAGAAAATAACATGACAAAAAGTTCATTGTTTAATTGTTCTCAAAGATTGCAAAAACCTGAAAGAACTATAAATGCTGTTGTCTTCGCATTCCTCCCATCAATAAAACATTTATAATAACAGTAATAATAATAATAACAGCAACAACTAGTATTATTATTATTAATAATTATTATATATTATATATATATATATATATATATATATATATACTGTATATATATATATACTGTA